GACTTCCACATTGAAGAGTTCCTGGTAAGTACATAGCAGATGGAAGCGGTACCTCAAATGTGTGGGACCAATACTCTTGGCCGAGATGGAGTTTTGCTGTTGGGTCGAATAGGATTCCATAATTTAGTCGTTGGACTACTGGGGAGGAGTTTTCACAGGCCGCAAAGGGTAGAAGCAAAAGAGTCATCACTGCAAGGAAGCTCCACACAGGAGAAAGGCCAAAGACACCTAAGAGGAAGTAGAAATAAAGAATAAGAAGAGTGTATTGTATGCCGGTATGAGATATGTGCACTTATCTCAAAGCACTAATTAAATAGATTACTCTTTTTAAATCAATTCACACAATCAATTCAATTGACACAAGAAAGACTCACAAATAGTGGAAAGAAATAGATAAAAAGAAGTTAGGACGACTTTGGTAACTCTCTGTATGTAAAAAAAACTTATTGCCGTGAGAAACATGTCAGTTTTGACTGTCTAGTCTTTTTGCGAGCTTTCCCTTTTTGCGTTTTTGTGACATGAAATTCACGAACCAACTCAGGAGGTAGATTTTGTACAGGTTCCCAAGTTCGTTCAGAATGACCAAGCCATTTCACACGAAAGTGCTTAATTCCGTTGCGAAATTTATACCGTAAGAGTTTTTCTATCGGGTATGTCTTCTGGTCATCCTGAATTGGAGATGAGGTTGATGGATTTGGGATGAGTTGAGTACCGGTATGATTAGATTGTGCTGAATTGTCAGCAAGGGAATTGGATTGATGAGAATGTGCTGAATTGTCAGCAAGGGGATTGGGTTGATGAGAATGTGCTGAATTATCAGCAAGGGGATTGGGTTGATGAGAATGAGCTGAATTGTCAGCAAGGGGATTGGGTTGATGAGAATGTGCTGAATTATCAGCGAGTGGATTGGGTTGATGAGAATGAGCTGAATTGTCAGCAAGGGGATTGGGTTGATGAGAATGTGGAATTTTGACAGTTGATGGGGGAGGTTGTGGGTTAAGATCTCTTCTATTTCGTGGATTGGTGTATGATTTCAAACGATTTGCATGTATGAAAGACTTAATCTCTTTGTGAGTACTATAACGGCGCAGTTTGTAGGTATGATTGAGCCCTGTATCTACAATGTAGTATGGCCTGTCCCAAGGGTTGTGTAGTTTTGGTGACAAGCCCTGGGGTACTTTAGGGGAATGTAACATTAACAAATCTTGAAGTTGAAATTTTGGAATTGTTGCCTTTTTGTCATGATGTTGCTTTTGCTTTGCTCTGGCCTCAGTAATGTTTTTATTGGCTGTTTGTCTGACAAATTTAAGATGATCTAACAGTTGGGTGACATGAGATTTGGCATCTCTGTTAAGACCACTCTTTGGAATAAGAGCAGTGTCAAATGGTAAATTCATTTCTTTTCCAAAAAGAATGTGGTAAGGGGAAAGGTCAGAGGCTTGTGTTGATGGGGACATCCTAAATGCCATAAGAACTCCTGGGAGGAACTCTGTCCAGTTTTGTTGATTTTTATCAACATAAGCCTTCAAGCATTGAGCTAAAGTACTATTCATGCACTCACATGTAGAGTTAGTCTGTGGATGACATGAACTTGTAAAGTGTCTAGTTACCTGAAAAAATTTCACACACAGCTGTAACAAGTTTGCTCATGAAATTCTGTCCTCTATCACTGACTATTGAACTTGGAGCACCATATCTGGCAAATATTTCTGAGTACAAAACTTTAGCTATTTCTTTTGAATCTTGTGTCTTGAGGGGAAACGCCTCGGGCCATTTACTGAAAGAATCAACCACCAGTAGAATATATTTGTAGCCTTCCTTTGTTGTTGTGATGGGTCCTAAAATGTCCATATGAAGTCGTGAAAATGTATCAGTGATGGGCATTGTTGTGAGTGGGGCTTGTTTATTGTGTGTTGATTTCTTTATCCTCTGACATGTATCACAAGACCTTATATAATCAACTGTGTTCTGGAACATCTTAGGCCAATAATATTTCAGCTGTATGGCTTTGTAAGTTCTATCAAACCCTAAATGAGCACCACCAGCTTGGTAATCATGATAAGACCTAAGTACATCATTTCTAAGACACCTGGGGACTGCAAGCTGACGAAGGGGAACTTTCTGGGTATCTCTTTTTGAGGATGGTATATATAAGTGATAAAGAGTATCATCTAGCAAAACATACTGATTTGACAAAGACACTGTTTTGACTGCGTCAGATTTGATAGCAGGAAGATCACCTGTAGCTAAGTATTTGTATATAGCACTAAAGTCAGGACACTCAGACTGAAGTTTGTCTACTCTTTCAATGTCATTTGAATGTGTAACTTCTGTCACCTGAGCAGTTGGTGTTTCAGCATTACATGTGTATAAAAATGTGACCTGTTGAGGTGAGCATTCATTTTGTTGATCTACAGAAGTTATTGGATGTGTGTCCATGTCATTGTTTAATTGGTCAGTACAGGGTGGGTATGGTCTTCTGGAAAGAGCATCGGCTACCTCATTGTTTTTACCTGACTTGTAAACAACTTCATAATCATAGCCCTGTAGTAGCACAGCCCATCTAGCTAGCCTACCTGTAGACTCTGGTTTGATTTCTTTCATCCATTTGAGAGCACTATGGTCAGTGTATATCCTGCCAGGTATACATGATAACTTTTTATGCCATCTACAATAGCAAGGCCTTCTCTCTCTGAAACATTATATTTTCTCTCATGCTTGTTAAGAGAGCGACCACCATATGCAATGACACGCTCACGGTTACAGGAGTTAAGCTGACCTAAGACATACCCTATGGCTTCACCTGAAGCATCTGTTGTCAAAATGAAAGGCTTTGTGCGATCTGGGTAAGCAAGCACTGGTGGGGAGGTAAGAGCTTGCTTTAATTGATCAAATGACTTTTGACAAGCCTGTGACCACTCAAACTTGTCATCTTTCTGTGTGAGCTTGTTCAGTGGTGCTGTTATTTTACTATAGTTTTGAACACATTTTCTATAGTAATTACAAAGTCCTAAAAATGACCTAACCTGTTTCTGGGTTTTTGGGACAGGATAAGAACTTACAGCATCTGTTTTGGAAGTGTCAACCTCAATACCGTCCTTAGAAATCACATGACCAAGATATTTGACCCTGTGCTGAGCAAATGAGCACTTGCTGGGTTTCAGAGTTAGATTTGCCTGCTCTAGTCTATCAAAGATCTCTTGTAAGTTCTTTAGATGTGTCTCGAATGTACGTGAGAACACTAATATATCATCAACATACACGAGACAGGATTTCCAATTCAATCCTTTTAGAACTTTGCACGTCAGAGATTGGAAACTTGCAGGAGCATTAAATAGTCCGAATGGCATTCGTTTCCACTGATAGACACCGACAGGGGTAACAAAAGCTGATTTATGGGCAGTTTCAGGGTCCATGGGAATTTGCCAGAACCCTGAGGCAAGGTCAAGTGTGGAAAAGTACTGAGCTCTAGATTCTCCAATAGAGTCAAATACATCTTCAAGACGAGGTAGAGGGAAAGTGTACTGTTTTGTGACGGCATTAAGTTTCCTGTAATCAACAGCAAAACGTAACTGGCCGTTTTTCTTTTTCACCATGACAACAGGACTTTGCCACATTGATGTAGATTCAGTAATGATGTCATTTTCAAGCATTTCTTGTATTTGTCTTTCTGTTTCAGATTTAACTGCAGGGGCTTGACGATAAAATCTCTGTCTGATCGGAAGCTGATCACCTGTGTCAATGGTGTGTGTATGTTGGTTTGTGTGGCCTAACTCTGATAGGTCATTGGCAAAGACTTTCCTGTTTTGATTGAGAAATGCTTGTAGTGTTTGTTTTTGTTCCTTTGAGAGGTCTGAATCTTTTAGATCAAAGGGAATTTCTGTAAGTGTTTCTGTTTGTTTGTGTTCCTGTTTTCTTATGTAATGGAGTGTCAAGGGACATCACAATGTCAAGATCTTTATCCATGACTGATACTGAACCTATAACCTTACTTGAAAAAAGTACAATCTTCTTTTCAGATGGGTTCATGATTTGAACAAAACATGTGTGATCTGGTTGTATCACTGATACACATTTAGCTCCAACAAGGCCTAAAGAAGGTAACTGTGGTAAAGGTTCAAATAGAATTTGTGAGTTTACTGGTAGTCCTGGTATCTTGACTTGTTGAGTGATAAAGGAGGGAGAACTGATCGAGACCTTGTCCTAGTTAAAGATACCTCGGTATTGATTGATAGCACTTGTTCTGAGGTTGTTTCCTTCAGATATAAAGTTTTGTTTTTAATGTTAAAGACTGCCTCATGTTTATCCAAAAAGTCTAAGCCTAAAATCAATGGAAGATGGAACTTTTCAAAAACATGAAAATCAACACTAAATACACTACCTCCAATGGTGACAGGGATGGTAATTGTACCAAGACTACGGTGTGACTCGCCTCCTGCAACTACAGCAGTTATAGCTGAACACTGTTTAATTTGTGTAGATTTGTTACCTTGGAAACGAGTTAACAACGATAATGCAACACAGGAGATAGTAGCTCCAGTATCAACCAGAGCTTTAACTGGTGAGTTGTATATCTCTACACTAACAGAATTTCTTTCAACAGGAGTTACAAGATTAACTATTTCTTCAGGTACTGATTTGTTGGGTGGTTGAGTTGGGGCTGGTTGTGGGTTTGTTTGTTCTGAAGAAAACCTGTTAATCTGGACACCTGTGATGGAAAGGTCATAGTTAGTCTGGTTGTGCCTATCCTTGTTGCCAGGGATAGGCACGCATCCCTAATGGATATTTGTATTTTGTGCAGGAGTGAAGGTGGGTGGTTGATTAAATTTCCGGCGCCTACAAACATCTACAAAATGATGCCAAATTTTACAGTAGGAGCATTGTGTATTGTAAGCCGGACATGAAAAACGCCTTTGGCATGACTTACCACATCCTTGGCATGGCCCTCTGTTGATAAATCTTGGCTGCTGCTGTGGCTGAAATGGCTGGTGTTGGAAGTGCTACTGCTGCTGCTGTGGTTGGAAAGACTGGTATGGCTGTTGGAGGTGGAATGGTTGTTGTTGTGGCTGGTATTGCTGCTGGAGGTGAAAATGTTGCTGCTGAGGCTGGTATGGCTGCTGGAGGTGGAATTGTTGCTGCTGCTGTGGTTGGAAAGGTTGTGACTCGTGCTGCTTTTGAAAAGTTTTGAACTGGTGCTGACTCTTTCCAGGGTGTTTTGCAGCAATAGCGGACACCTCTTGCTGAACACCTTCTAACTTCTCTTTGAAGTCAGTTTGGAGTTTAGTGACGATTTCATCACACAGTTTTGACACTGACACTATGTTGATGTTGTCTGAGTCAGAGCAGCATGCCAGCTCTTCTTTTGCTAAATCCACATAGTGTCGCAAATCCATAAACGTGGTGGGTTCTTTTCCAAGCACCTTGCTTTTGATCTTACTGTGCAGGCCATTCATTGCGACCTGCACTTTAGAGCACTCTGGCAAGTTGTGCCCAAGGGCCAGTTTCTCTATTCTCTCTAGATAACGATCACCATTCTCATCTGGTTGCTGTTTGGTGCCAAAAAACTTGTTATCGGATGCTTTTTGTCCAAATCTGGTGATGAACAGTTCTTTAAACTTGATGAAGTCTGTCTTGTCCTCACCAGACAACCCTTGTAGCCACAATGCTGCGGCCCCTTCCATGTTGAAGGACATGGCAGCCATTGTTCTGGCATCGGACAGGTTATGGAAGTCCTGCCACGACTGTAAGGTTGACAACCATATCAATGGAGATTCAGACCCATTATACTTCTTAAGGTTAATCCCTCCTGAAGACATTTTACTTGAAATTAGCTCTGGTGGCGGTGGAGGTAAAAAGTCCTCCACGAGGTCCACGAGGTCCACAATTTGCTGTTCAGGTTGTTGTTCAGGGTGTGGTGCAGGATGTTGTTCAAGTTGTGGTTCAGGTTGTTGTTCAAGTTGTGGTTCAGGTTGTTGTACAAGTTGTGGTTCAGGCTGTGGTTCAGGTGGTTGTTCAGGTTGTGGTTCAGGGTGGGGTTCAGGTTGTTGTTCCTGTTGTTGTTCCTTTGAAGCCGGCTGTTCTTTTGACGCTCTGGTCCTACCACTGATGTAATCGACAGGTACTGATTTTCTGTATCCAGGCATCAAGATCTTAGGGATCTCCACCAATCTTTAACGTTGTTTTTGTGTGGTTGAAAGGTTATTTTTGTTTTTGTTGGAATCTGAAAAGATTATGGAGACAGCCTGTTAAGTTCGTTATTCTTTATTGGCGTCACGGCTTCAAGTCACCAGTGTGACGCGATACTACCAAACTTACTCAGGAGTCTCCATGAATTTGATTGGTCAGATCTTGGAACCTTTCAAATTGATTGGTCAAGACATAGCGTGGGTTCGGACAAAGAAAAATGTGAAAAACATCTTTCTAGCAGGTTTGTTACATAAGCCTACCTGAGTCCTAATTGACTGTGACACGGCCGATAATTCTTTAACAAAGGACGAACGATTGAATAAAGCCTATACCTGAGTTCTTAATTGGTATGACAGCTGGGATTAACAAGATCACATAGACTGGCCGCAGTGAACAAGTGACTGGACTGTAAGACTGTAACAGAGCCCTACGAGTGTCACGCTTAGTTTTATCGTTTACTGTGTCTGAAGTTAATGGCAGACATCGATCACAGCTGTTTTTCATATGTTATAGTACAGTCAACAAAATAATCATAAAAATTAGACAAGTGAGGTGTAAGAAAAAAGAACGGAAAAATAGCGATGGACTCGAAACAAAGAAATATAATATTTCTCAATGATATCACTATGACGACCGCAAAACATCCCCATACTTTTCATCAACCTGCATGTTTTGAAACTTGTGTTACGAAGTTTGGGACGCAGGGATGTTGCTATCCAGAAATGGAAAATTCATAATAGGTAAATTGAAATCATCACGCTTATCAAACAGCTTGGTGGAAAGCTGTCCATACTGGTTTCGTGGTAGGAAAAGATCGAGGTAAGTGCTTGATGTAGAAGAGTCTGATGAATCTACGATGGACTTCAATTTTCTTGTCATTTAAAGACAATAATTCATCAATATACCTGTAAGTGAAATTGAATTATTTTTATTCTAAAGAAGATGACGTGCATATATTTATTGTACAAGTATTAAAAATATATAACTAAGACTTCAAGAGTAAAGCTACATGTAGCAGTCCTGAAAACTGTCAATCCGGACGATTTTAGCAGGGAACGGAGGTGTTTGGACTATCGACAGTCCATTGTGATAAAGTCTGGCGAATAACAAAAAATGTAAAACTGGTTATATTCACTTAGTCAGTCTGGTGTCAACATTTTCCCGTCTAATCACCTCTCAATAACAAAAAGACTAAAAGTTACCACACCTGGCTGGTAGCTTCCTGGCCTGAATACCAACAACGTTCATGACCCATAATTAAGGTCGGAGGAGCCGAATTTGTAAAAACGCTGAAACCGATAGACCGGAGCAAAGTTTTGGGAAAAGAAGTGTCATTGCCATATATGTATTCAAGGTAAAATGCGTTAAATTCCTTAAAGCAGAAACGATATTTTTCTCAACTAAAATACCTAGAATTAAGATTTTTGACTTGTAGGTTTCTTGGTGGGGTGAATTACAACAAGTTTGCAAAAGGAGATGACCTTGACCCAAATTCAAAGCCACAGATGTCAAATATCTCGAAACGCTAAAACGTCTTATTCTAATTAATTAGAATTACAGGATTTTTGGTTATATGATGCACCCCATCTTCGATACTCCAGAGGTTACGATTACTTTCGATCTCTATATCCCTGGAACATGTCGTGGCGAAATTGAAGGCTACATGTGTGACACTTAGTGGACAAAACGAAAAGACTAGGTTGGCCCTTTAATTTACATCAAACGAATCTCGAGGTCGCATAACGGTATATTGTAATGGCTTAGAAGCTGGGTGTCGCTCCTTTAAAGTATTCCTTAGGAGCGTATCAGCCTGTGATTGGTCAGTCTTTTTTCTCGCCTAGAACCAATCAAATTGGTTCTGGTCAAAACAATCTAAGAATGGAACTAGTGCTGCTTGTCTAACGTTACATACAAAAAAATCATAATACAATTGATTATTGATCTTTTAACGTGATCACATTTTTAAAAAAGTTCTTTCATTCTAGATTTAACTGATTGGAATAATTTAAATGATGATTTGATGACAGCTGCTGAGTACTGTTTTGTACTGTAGAGTGTATTCCGAAATCGTAATCAAAACGCATAAGGCCCACTCAAATTTTAGTACAAAATGTAAACATCCGGTCTTGTATTCCGGCGGGGAACTCGAAAGTCCGCTCTTGAATGTAACGTTATATTGGTTAGAAATGGATGAAATGCGAAAGAAGGTAACATTTATGATATATCTATGTAAAAGATACAGTATGTTTTTACACTTTTTTTTCGAGTGGAATTGTTGTCAGTCTTGGGAAGATAAGATATTAATCATCATAATACAGTCGTTTTCCCGGAAAGCTGACTGCGATTTCATTCGGTAACGTTAAGCCTTCAATACTGTATACACGTTGACTAACTACAAAGTCTAGTGTAACGATCGATAAAGTGTTTTCCTACTACTACGCGGCCTGTACTGATTCAGCTATACTAGAATAAGGGTAGGCCCTATAAATTACTGAATTATGAATCTGACTGGTACGGTTTTACCAGTTGTATTGTCTCCCCTCTACCGCAAATTACTCTGTAGGCATGAAAGGCCATATGCCATAGGCAAACTCTTTCAAAGATGATGAGATTAGTCAGTAGGTGCCGAGGTATGAGATAAGTCTTACCTCAGATTAGATAGATTACAAAACATGTTATTAGATTATTAAAATCTGGAGAATCAAACACAACAGACTGGTTCTGATGAAGTCAAAGTTTTAGGGCGAAATCGGTAGACAATACCAAATAAATAAATATTAATAACCTGTTGTGATTGATTCTCCAGATTTTAGCTATCACATCAATCATCTGCATACCCTCTTGTATCTAGGCGGGAGGTATAGGATCCATCTACCCTTCATTTAACAGTACACAACATTGGCTCTACTACCCACCCTTAGTTTGTTTATTGATCCATAACTATTTATTTCCCAGAGAAACAACTTCAACATGTACGTTTGTATCACCTACATATGTATTTTGTATTTTCAGCATCGCAGATTAAGATTATTGTCTTTGTAAAAGGTGAAAATGGCCATTCTTTGTTTCACTGACTCTGCTAGGATTAATAGGATTAAAACCCAGGACCTCTGACTTTTGTGTCTTAAACACTCAACTTATCAATCAAAAGATAAGTTTTCTCTAGCCAATCAGTATATTGCAGCTATTCTTTCTACCAGGGTTTTAAATAGGTTTTTTTTTTAAAG